TGAGAAAATACTGCAGATGCCTCTCCTCCACAAGGCTGAACAGGTGCTCCCCTTAAGAGTTACACCCACCTTTTCTCCTATCATGTAAAAACAAGGTAATAATCAAACATATGCTTTACACTTAAAGAAAAAAAATTGTGAAAATGTGAGTAAAATAAATCAAATGCAAAATTAAGCATGATTTTACATATATCTTCAAAAGGATGATACATAAACTTGAAGGAGAAGCCAAGGAGAGGAGGCACGCATGATAGGCACTAGTGTTTGCACTCTGGGGTTGGTATCATGGAAAACATTTGGAGCACAAACTAAGCATTATTAACTTCAGCAGAGAGGGGACCATAAAATTAGTGTTCAAATTTAATTTTAACTGTTAAGTTTTGAATGGTTATAAAACTGGTTTAATTTTTTATTACCATAAATATTTACAACCCTCAATCTATCACAGAACACCTACAATCCATTCTTGGAACACACAGTATTCTGGCACACCAGCTGGTAAACTCTGAGACAGACCAACAGCTAGACAGATGTGTGGGCTCAATGTAAATCATTTTTCTTTGCTATGTATGCATATTCAAATGTTGACAGAGCGAGACTCCATCTCAAAAGAAAAAAAAAAAAACAAGATAGACATGAATAGTTGATATATGAACAGTTGATATTAAATGTCACAAATAGTTGATATTCCAAGATTCTTGAGATAGTAGAAGAGGATTTGACCCAAAGCTAGGTGAATGTTGGTCTCAAAGAAGTAGGTACACAGGTTTACATGGTGGTAGGAATCATCCTGTCTGATAACATTTTGGAATAATTTCCTAATCCCTGCTCAGGGTTTTAAGTTGTAAATCATAGACACCAATTTAATAAAAAGAATTTACTGCTGAGAAATTTGGAGAATGAGATTGGAAAGCAGTCCAAAGACAGGGGAGATTTGCAGAAGCCAGGACAAGCCCCCAGTCCTTTGACAGAACTGGTCTAGAGTCCCAGGTGGCCCAGCTTGCAAAGCCTCCATGGCGGCACCAGGGATAGGTGCTTCTTGTTGCTCCTGCAAACCCCTGCCTCTGATGTTTTGTTTGTTTGTTGTTTTTTTGTTTGTTTGTTTTGCTTTTTGTGTTTTTTGTTTTTTTGAGAGGGAGTTTCTCTGTCGCCCAGGCTGGAGTGCAGTGGTATGATCTCAGCTCACGGCAACCTCCGCCTCCCAGTTCAAGCGATTTCCATGCCTCAGCCTCCTGAGTAGCTGAGATTACAGGCACCCGCCATCATGCCTGGCTAATTTTTGTATTTTTAGTAAAGACAGGGTTTCGCCATGTTGGCCATGCTGGTCTTGAACTCCTGATCTCAGGGGATTCACCTGCCTCGGCCTCCCAAATTGCTGGGATTACAGGAGTGAGCCACTGTGCCCAGCCCTCTGGTGCTTTGGAAACTGGAATTTGCTACTACCCCAAGGAATTTTCAATTCACAGTGCAGGGAATGTACATCTGACTGATCATATTCTTTCATTCTGGCTGCAAGGGACATTATCCTCCTTCTATGGTGGGCTCTGCTTTCCTTGAAGACCTATAGAATTCAGAATTCTCTTATCATAGGTAAGGGGTTCCAAATTCTGGGAAACTAAAATATCCACCAAGATGTCTACTGCATGCCGTGGAATACCTTTGTGGGAATCAGTAAAAATGCCCATTGAGATAGATATATCCTTGTGCATTAGCCCTGGGAGTACCTTTAAGAGAATTTAAAAAATTACTCTTTCTCTGGGAGCATCCTTTCCTGAGTCAAGGCGCTCAGTTAGACCAGCAGAATGAAGCTGAATTTTAGTCCCCACTTGCCCCTGAGCTGGGTGTCCTTGTCCAGATATATTCGATGTTCCTGGTGGCTCTACACCTGCCAGAGATAAGGGGATTAACTGTGATCACATGCAAAGAAGGGACAAATTCAGGCGGCGGCACTGATCCCAAGCTCTGTAATCCCTAAGGCCTTTATTTTACAGCCAGCCTTGAAGCCATAAACTATTATTGCTTTACAATCAGTTAGCAGATGTTATCAGAAAAGGCAGATAAACCCTCTTTGATTTCTTTGGTTGTCGTAATTCTCCAAATGCGGATCTGAGTAAGTACAGAAGTCTGGTAGGTATAATAAATGCAATTGATCTTGTTTTCACTCAGGACTTGAAAGGACTTATTTGGATTTTCTCAGTCCTATCTTGAGAGATTCTTCCTCACAAAAAAATTTTCTCAGGCTGGAAAATCCTGAGCTATAAGTCTTGATTTAGTTTAGGAAACAGGACTGGCTTTAGGAAAAGATATTACTGAGAAGTTGAAGATTTGTTTCTGCTTCCTCGGCCTTGTATCTCTCCCCACCTCTTCAAGAGCCTTACAAATCTCTAACCTAAGTCAAGCATAAATTACTCATTTGGCAACATTTCAATTTTTCACAAGCCATAGGAGCCTAAGGCCAAAAAAAATGAATCTCTAATGATTGTATTTAGGTACTTGTAGGCAGTAAAGGAAGGTTCTCTCAGGGCTGATGAAATCACTCTTCTCCCAGGAGAGCCAACCTTCCTACATGCTGGAATTCCCGAGGCTGTCTTCCAGACATTCTTTCGAACAGAGGTGAGCCAGGCTGGGCAGACCTCTGGAGAGCATCCTAGATCAGAGTGGCCGGTTGAAGTCAGCATCCAGCCCCTGTGACTTGTGCGCTGCTGATTTGGGAGTGCCAAGGAGGTGGGAATCCTGGCTGTAGAACTGGGGATAAAAAGGAAGTCTATGCTTACTAATTTCAAGTATTCAATATCCTTTTTTTTTTTTTTTTTGAGACAGAGTCTTACTCTGTCACCCAGGCTGGAATGCAGTGGTGCGATCTTGGTTCACTGCAACCTCCGCTTCTTGGGTTCAAGTGATTCTCCCACCTCAGTCTCCTGAGAAGCTAGGATTACAGGCACTTGCCACCAGGTCCTGACAATTTTTGTATTTTTAGTAGAGATGGGGTTTCACCAAGTTGGCCAGGCTGGTCTCAAACTCCTGACTTTAAGTGATCCGCCTGCCTCAGCCTCCCAAAGTGCTGAGATTACAGGTGTGAGCCACCACGCCTGGCTATTTAGACAGCATTTCTAACGTTTACACAGAAGCCTTTCTCTCAGAGTAGGTGGCGAACTGCTCCTTTTATATAGTTTATCCTCAATGTAAAATATACATAACTAATGTCTTTTCAAATTTAAATAATGGATACTGCCTTTTCTTCCCAGAATGACCTAATGTCTCTGAAGTAATGAGAGCTAACACTTATTCAGTGCTTTCTGCATGTCAGATACTATTCTAAGCATTTTACATAAATTAACTCATAAGAACAGATAAGAATTTTATGTGGTAGAGACTCTTATTGGCCTTTTTATTTTGCAGTAGAGGAAGCTAACGCAAATTAAACAGGCCCAGGTGCGTGGCAGAGTTTCGGTGAGAAGTCACAAAACTCCAGACTGAATTGCTATTGTTGGACTTGCTTCAATAAGGAAAGCTGCTTAGGCTATCCAGGAAGAAAAGATGAAGACTAGAAGTAAGGTCAGGAATTGGATAGCCAATGGATATCAGGTAAACACAGACCAAGAAAACAAAAGTACAGAAATGCAAACAGACCCCGGGAAGGAGGAAGTTCCAAGTTCACTCTCAAGTTGGGCAATGGATAAACCCCTCAGTGTTCCATCAGTTGTGAAGTTGTTTTATGACCCTCTGAATAAAAGGACTGAGCCTATGGGACCATGTGAAAGGTTTTCTACAGGACTGACTCCAGGACACAGAAATGCTTCACAGACTGCAACAGTAAGAGAGAAACAGGGCCATGCTTAGGAGCAGCAATAAGAAAACTGCAGCCACTCAAGAGTTTGGTCACCAAACAGTGAGATAAAGAAAACTGCTGTAATCCCAGCACTTTGGGAGGCTGAGGCAGGCAAATCACCTGAGGTCAAGAGTTTGAGACCAGCATGACCAACATGGTGAAATCCTGTCTCAACTGAAAATACAAAAATTAGCCAGTTGTGATGGCAGGCACCTGCAATCCTAGCTGTTCAGGAAGCAAAGACTGGAGAATCGCTTGAACCCGGGAGGTGGAAGCTGCAGTGAGCTGAGATTATACCACTTGCACTCCAGCCTGTGCGACAGAGGTGAAACACCACCTCAAAAAACAAATAAAATAAAATAAAATAAATGTGTTCTTTTATTGTGGAGATATTAAAGGAAAACCAATTATAGGAGATATATGTTCCTTCCAAAAGAAAATTGGGAGTTAAGAGTAGAACACAACCCAAAAGGTCAGACCTCTCTCAGTCAGTTCTTGTTATTACCTATGGTGTGGCATTTGGGTGACAGTGTTAGAGATGTCAAGCTCAACTTTTAATGAGCATCAGTGACGGCTCCAGCATTTCTAGGCAAGAGGCTTTCAGAGCACAAGTAATCCAGATGGAAGGTGCAGCCAGGCACGGGTCTCAGACTGTCTGCCTAGGAAGTACACTGCTGTAATTAAGTTAGCATGTTTTCATCAGCAGTGGCTTGAAGGATGAGGGAAATTTACTCTCTAAGCTACTCTTTGGTGCTACCACTAACAAGCGCTCTGCAAAAGTAATGTCCTTGATCTCCTAACAACTTCCCCCAAGGCTTCTCAAAGACAGTCAGTCCGTGTGCACCCCTGCACACTGCTCAGAGACAATATGCGCTGGCCACATTGCTCAACCAGCCAGTCCGAACTCTCTGGCTGTGGAAAGCTTGTTCACTTCAATCCTTAATAGGCCTTTTTTTTTTCCTTCCTTTTTTGGGAACACAAACCACATTGTTCAGCAGAAACAAATTTGTGGCCCACAACCAAAGTAGACAAGATATGGCAAATATGCTGAAGTGCCTCTCTGTTTTCATTTGGATCCCACTCCTGTCTGAATCTCAATTTCTAGAGAGAAAAAAGTGCGGGGGGCCTCAGGAGTTGGAAACAAACACACTCACAAAATAATCTTATAGCCTTTCGGCCGGAACCGCCATCTTCCAGTAATTCGCCAAAATGACAAACACAAAGGGAAAGAGGAGAGGCACTCGATACATGTTCTCTAGGCCTTTCAGAAAACATGGAGTTGTTCCTTTGGCCACGTATATGCGAATCTATAAGAAAGGTGATATTGTGGACATCAAGGGAGTGGGTACTGTTCAAAAAGGAATGCCCCACAAATGTTATCATGGCAAAACTGGAAGAGTCTACAATGTTACCCAGCATGCTGTTGGCATTGTTGTAAACAAACAAGTTAAGGGCAAGATTCTTGCCAAGAGAATTAATGTGCGTATTGAGCACATCAAGCACTCTAAGAGCCGAGATAGCTTCCTAAAACGTGTGAAGGAAAATGATCAGAAAAAGAAAGAAGCCAAAGAGAAAGGTACCTGGGTCCAACTGAAGCGCCAGCCTGCTCCACCCAGAGAAGCACACTTTGTGAGAACCAATGGGAAGGAGCCTGAGCTGCTGGAACCTATTCCCTATGAATTTATGAATTCATGGCATAATAGGTGTTAAAAAAAATAAAAGACCTGGACTGTAAAAAAAAAAAAAAAAAAAAAAATAATCTTATAACCACAAATTGGTATCTGCATCTAAAACTTTGATGGATGTTCAATTTTCCTTCACAAATGGTATAACAACTTACATTGTACTGAGCAGGTATTTGAGTGTCTATATTCTAGCCTATCCTGTTTCTGTTTTTGTTGCTGTTTTCTAGAGACAGGGTCTCACTCTGTTGCCCAGGCTGGAGTGCAGTGGTGAGACCTTGGCTCATTGCAGCCTCAACCTCTTGGGCTCAAGCAATCCCCCAACCTCAGTCTCCCAAGTAGCTGGGACTACAGGTACACCAACATGCTTGGCTGATTTTTGTTTTTGTTTTTGTAAAGACAGGACACTCGCAATGTTACCTAAGCTGGTCTTGAGTTTCTAGCCTCAAGCGGTCTTCCTACCTTGGCTATCCAAAGCATTGGATTACAGGTGAGACCCACCATGCCCAGTCCTATTTTTAATATTATTTATTTATTTATTTTTAGATGGAGTGTCACTGTGTTGTCCAGGCTGGAGTGCAGTGGTGCAATCTTGGCTCACTGAGAACTCTGCATCCCAGGTTCAAGTGATTCTCCTGCCTCAGGCTTCTGAGTAGCTGGGATTACAAGTGCTCACCACCACGTCCTGGTAATTTTTGTATTTTTAGTAGAGACAGGGTTTCACAATGTTGGTCAGGCTGATCTCGGACTAGTCCTGTTTTTTAAATAAAACTTTTATATTTTGTTAATCAGAAAGGTAAAAAATGACATGTAACTATTTTGACTTACTTTAGTTATGAGGGAAGTCAAACATTTTATCTGTTTATATATTATGTCCATTAAATATGGACATACTGGGTTTAAACATTAAATTTGCTGTTTTCTCTTCTCTTTCTACCATAAAGTTCCATATCTTTTGAAAATAGGTCTTTAAAAGAAATATTGTCAGCAGCAAAAATATAACAGAGTATTCTCTATGTGAATTTCAAGGGAAGAAGCTCCTTGGAAGATAATTTAATAAAGGAGGAAAAATGTGAAAAATAATTTTGATTTTATCAGATAGCTAGGAGGCAAGGACATTTTAAACAGAGGAAACAACATGAAAAATGGCATGAGATTGTGAAAGTATGGGTCCACCTTGAATGGGCAAAAGTGCATAGTGGAAAGTAACAAAACCCAAAGCATAGCAAGAAATTAGATTGTGCAAACTCTTAAAGGTTACACCAAAGAAATTTGTTCTGTAGAAAATCATGGGTCATGCTTTTAGCCACTGGATGGACATTTGGAAATAACACTGGACTGATGGAGAAACTAAACATGGACCAGTTGAGAAATGAAGAAGTCCTTCACAGAGGGGGACTATGGAAATGCTGAGCAGGGAAAATATTAATAGACCTTTTTCCAAGATAGAATTGATAGAATGTGGGAACCCGTTAGTTCTAGAAATGGGGACAAGGAAGGAATCACTGATGTTTCCCTGTTTCTTTGCTTTATTGACTAGGTGAATGGAAACACCTTTAATTAAAATGGGCACTATGGCCCAGTGCAGTGGCTCACACCTATAATCCCAGCACTTTGGGAGGCCGAGGCGAGTGGATCACTTGAGGCCGGGAGTTCGAGACTAGCCTGGCCAATATGATGAAATCCTATCTCAAATAAAAATACAAAAATTAACTGGGCATGGTGGTGAGCATCTGTAATCCCAGCTACTTGAGAGGCTGAGGCACCAGAGTCGCTTGAACCCAGGAAGTGGAGGTTGCAGTCAGCTGAAATCGTGCCATTGCATTCCAGCCTAGGTGACAAGAGCAAAACCCCTTCTCAAAATAAAAATAAAAATAAAATAGGCACTACAAAGAAAGATAACATTCTTTTGTGGGCATAACAGGCATGTGGGGTGAAAATAGGTGCAAACTAAGTCCAATTTTAACCTTTAGATGCCTATAAGAGGTCAAGGAGAAGATTCAGCTTTGTTTCATGTATTCATTCATTCAACAAACATTCTTTCATTATTGAATGCTATTTATCTAGGCCCTATTTTCGATTTGGGGGGACCATAGTAGGAAAGACAAAGTGCTGGCTTTTATAAAAGTTACATTCTACTGAAAGTAGCTGGAATATTAATTTCAGGACAAATTTATGATACACAGGAATGATCTCTCACGCCTTGGGTAGAGTGAAGTACATAGAAGCCCTTTGTCCTTCGTACAGTTAATATGTATAGCACGTATATGTCCCTCGTGACTCAGCACAATTTTTTTTCATGCTAAAGAGTTACAGCTTTTTTAAATTGCGTATTGTTGTTTATGTCTATCATCTATTTGAACCCGAGATCTTGCTTGGCAATAGAATCTTCATTTATGACAAAGTTCACATGGAAAACTAGCAAATACATTGAAATGAATTGCTTGATGACACATTTTTCAGATAAATCAGTAAACTGTTTTTGTTTTTTTTTTCTTCTGAGCCTCACTTGTCTTAATTGTTCATTAAGAGGCTTGCAAAATGATCTCAAATGCCACCTCTCTGGGCTCGGTCAAGTCTGTCCCATGTGGTTTCCTTGCCCTATTACTTCCCTTGCCCTATTACTTGCCCTATTACACTCTCTCCTCAATACTACGCACAGCTACAAATATGCTTAAGACTTTCCTTTCATATAAACAAATCAACAAAAGAACCACCTTCCTACTGCACATGCTTCTCAAGCTATCACCGTGTGCTCTCATTCATGGCCACAGGTCTCGAAAGGACAGCCCACTCACTATTTCTACTAGCAGTCTCCCACTCACTCCCTGACTCTCCTCCAGACAGCTCCAGTCTCCACGACTGACCTGAAGGCGAGGACATTTCACATAGCTTCTTGGCTAGGTGAAGGGAAGAAGCCATTTCTTAAAATAAAAACTTCATCGTTCTTGCTTTGCTTAGTTGGTGGTAGTCACTGGTTTTATTCCAAATGCTGCTTTTTCAAGTCCATCCAGCTCCCTCTTAGTATCTCAGGATTATTTGTCCTTCCACAGATGACCCTTCTTAAGAACAGAGAATAGCAGAGGAATCTTGCTGTCTTCAAAGAACCACAAAGAGAAGGGTGGCACCCGTTGGTTAAAAAAATAATAAACAAATAACAAAAGCCAATTCCAGTGAAATGGTGGCACAAGGCCCTGTGTGGCTTCAGACATCATTTCCTCCTCCTGTCTTCCCAGGGTTTCTTGGTATTTTAGGGACACCTGCTGACGGTGTCAGCTGCCAGAATATTGCTGGCACCACATGGTACAAAACAACAAAAAAGCAAAGACAGGGCACTGTTGGCTGGGCTGCCCGGCAGACTGCCACTGTGAATACACAAAGAGCAGCCACACCATCCACATCCTGCTGCGTCCCCAAAACATCTCACTCATCTGCCACACAGCCCTGTGTCTTCACCCTTTGTCTCTGTTAAAGGAAAATACAGCCTAGTGCTGGATGTGAAAGATTCACTGGGTCACTCAGAGTGACCTGGGCAGAAGCAGACACCCTCACAAGGCAGGGGTGAGCATTCCAAAGAAAAATTACTGAAGTTAAATCAAACCCTGAATCTGTCTGGAACTTGGGCTCTGTTCTATTTGGCTCTATTGTTGTGACAGTTGGCTTTGTAGTGTTTGTCAAATCCATTCCTGAAATCACCTATCTTACCCATCACAATATCTTTCAACTAAATTGTCTCTAAATCCTGTTGTCTCATTACCAAGTTTAATCTACTTTGAAAATTAGACTTTGAGGCAAACAGGGATGAAATGATTAAGCTATCGGCTTCAGGTATAAAATTTCACTATGGGAAATGTATTCACTGCCTGCTGCAGGATCTGTCAAAGCAGATATTCAATTACTGATGGCTTGCAAGATTTTTCCTGTCTTACAGGATGCCGTGGAACAGGACAAAAAGAAAGACACAGAAATGGGGGCTTAAAGGCAAAGAAATATACACTACAAACCTTTAAAAAGGGATGATGTTGTTTATTTTACAATTTTTATCAGGATGGATTTAACACAAATTGAAATCTATAAAAATAGCCAGTCCATATAATGTCTGGTAACCCAGGAATGCACACCTTTCTAATGTGCTAATATAAGAAAGATTAAAACAGTTAAAGTATAATATGATGTTACATTTGTTTAAGCTACGTTTTCCCTTCTTACTTCACATAGGATGTTATCAAAGTAGATGGCATGAAGAAAGGGAAAAAGAAAAAAACTGCCCAAATGAAAACCTGCAGACCTTGGGTGGGATCTGGTAACGTATGTCTTGCAGTAGTCTGGGACCTGGAAACATACCAACCTCTGGCTAAGTCAAGAATTATTCTTGGGGCTGGGCAAGGTGCCTCACGCCTGTAATCCCAGCACTTTGGGAGGCTGAGGCAGGCAGATCACCTGAGGTCAGGAGTTCCGGACCAGCCTGGCCAACATGGGGAAATCCCGTTTCTACCAAAAATACAAAAATTAGCCAGGCATGATGGCACATGCCTGTAATTCCAGTTACTCGGGAGGCTGAAGCACTTGAACCTGGGAGGTGAAGGTTGCAGTGAGCTGAGATCGCACCACTGCACTCCAGCCTGGGAGACTAAGCAAGACTCCATCTCAAAGGAAAAAAAAGAGTTATTCTTGGATAATTACTACGTAAATGATAATGAAATCAACAATGGCTTAAATCCCTGGCAAAAAGTCTTCGGTAAGAGATTAAAAACCAACAACCAACTTTCTTGATTAAAACGCAGCCCAGGAAATTAAGGTGATGAAGCAGAAAGTGCACACTGTCACAGATGCCATGGAACTCCAATTCCTTACACTTTTTGCCATAGGCAGTATGTCCAGGAAGGCTGCTCCCAACAGGCTCCTTATAGTGGAAGTTATAAGTGACAGTCTCTATTTTTATTTTCATTTTTTTTTTTTACTGTTTCCTCATCCAGAGAATTAGGGTATTAGGCAGGTTGGATCTAAGACATCTTAGCTCCAAGTTCTAAG